GCTTTTGGGTTTTCACTTAAACTTTAAAGGATAAAGCCCACACAAATCATAACCCACGGCCACAAGTAGAGGAGAATAAGTCACCGAAGTCGGGCTTAATTTATAACATATCCCCCACCCTCCAAAGGCTAAACTAAGCAATGTGGGATAGAGGTAATCTCAAAGGGTGAGTTCACTATCCCATATCGAAAAAACACATACTTTTGAGACTTGGAAAGGTCTATATATAACCCATCTCACTAATAAAAACTAATAGACTTAAAATCGTCTCACATCAAAAAAGAACTCATGTATGAGTTTGAAAATATTTATAAATATTATAGATTGTAGGATAATGAAATTGAACTTTCAATGTTAATAATTTCGGTTAACACCAAAAAATTAAAAATAAAAACCAAAATAATTTGAAACCAAAATTTTTTTATCGAATTGTTATTTGGTTCGGTTCGGTTGTAATTTTCTTGTGTTTGGTTAACCAAAAACCGAACCAAAATAGTTAAAAACCGAACCAAAAAACCGTTTGCTCACCCCTAAATACAACCCAAAGACCTCATCATCAATTCTTTTTTCATGGCTTTCATTTGCTAAACAATTCCCACATACTCATTAATGTGATTAGCTATAGAAGTTCGTTCTCTATACCTACAATTCATCCACGACTTAATCAAGTACATCTTATTATTCTCTCGTTTCTTTGGAAAAGAAATCTTCTAAACTTTTTCATAAAATTTTAGCATTTATCTCTTCTATAACATGATTAGAAATATTATCATCAATGTACTGATGAATAAAAGCACAAACTTGTTCATTCTTAAATTTTCAATCCTAATCTATTTTTATCTCGGGTTTAGTCGAAGTAAATACCGATATATACCAACTCTTTACATATAAAAAATCTTTCATTTTTCTCTTCCACATGTGATAATTAGTTCCATTCAAACTTATCATTTTAATGTTACTTTCTATATTGTTCAAGCTAAAAATAAGCAACCAAGCTTTGATACCATTTGTTAAATAATCAAACACAAGCTACAAGTATATACCTAAGCCAAAACAAGTAACTAATAATCTGAAAAATAAAATACCAACCACACAAGGAACACATAAATAATTTTTACTTGGAAAACCTCCTTAATTTGAGAAGAAAAAAGCCACGTGACCGAAGTCCACAATAACTTTCATTATCAACAATAATGGGCAATACAAGGAGTCTTCGTAGATTAAACTAAAGGAATAAATCAGTTGTAAATATCAAAGGTTACACACGCTTGGCAAATCACATCAATAGATGATACACAAAGAAAATAGAAGATATCAAATTCAAATTTCACCGAACAATAGCACCGTTGTGAGTATCATATCTCACTCTCTAAAACTCAAAACTAGATCTCGATCGTTTAGAATGTGCTTATGTCTCTCTTGAACATGCCCGGAAAATGGGAGCTCGATCCAATGGTTAACGACTACATAAACTCAATTTTAGAGTGAGTAGTCCGTGTTGAAACTTTCTTTCTTCTTTCTCTCTAAAGTCGTGGCTCTCACTCCTTTTTTTTTTTTTCCTTTTCTCTCTACTTTCTTCTCTAACTCTGATTTTAGAATTAAAGAGAAGATAGGGTTTATTTGAAAATAAAAAAAATTATCCTTCAAGTGATTAAAAATTCCTCCTCCACATAGGCTCCAAGATTTAGGCTTATATAGGCAAACCTTTAAGCCATCCTCCAACTAGGAGGCAAACCCAACAAGGCCCCTAAAGGATTTGATCTTTCCTTTGGCTAACGTATCATGACTATCTTCTTATGAATTCCTAATGATACAGGCGTCATATGATAGTTGATAGTTCTTGCTTAAGATGTGAGGGATAAACAAAGAATACTCGCATGTACTTCGAGATTATCTTTACACTAAGCAAGTTTGGGAGTTAACCTTCATCCCTATGTGTGTTTTTGCTTTTTATGGTATATCCTTATTGGATTGGTTGAAAACAAATTTGAGTTCTTGTTCTATCCATGTCTCGAATGCTTCTTGGAATATTTATTTTGGGCTAACCTATTGGAGCTTATATAGATGGCATAATATGAGCATTTTTAATGCCAATTTTGCTCTACCACATAATATTCTACATGATCTTTTTTCTCATATGGAAGAAGTCGGTGTTCTACTACAAAACCATAGAAATTTGAAAGAATGATATTGTGGGTACCTTCAAAATCAAAATGGATCAAGTTGAATACAAATGACTCGTTAAAATACATGAGGGAAGAGCTTTTACGGATGGAGTTCTAAGAGACAGTTCTAGTTCTTGGATTGGGGGTATTGCTCAAAATATTGGTAGTCGTTCTATTACAAGGGTTGAATTATACTTGGATTACGGATGACTTGGGATATGAGCTTGAGAATGATAGAATTAGAATTTGATTCTAATACTGCTATTCAATTACTTAATAATCATTCAAGTGCCGATATAGGCAACGCTCAACTAGTCAAGTCAATCCGATTAATCCTTCAATTATCTTAGCAAATACAAACTACTCATGGTTTTAGAGAGGCTAATCGATATGCAGATTAGTTGGCAAATCATGCTCTCTCCTTTACTCTTGTTTGTCATTATTTTTCAACTATTTTTTTTTCATATTATTTTAGAAGCTATGTATGGGATCAGTTTCCCTCAACTTTGTTCTAGCTAATTTGTTTTATCATTTCAATAACAATAATAATAATAATTAGGAGTATTTAATGGGTCCTGCTCCACTAATTTTGACCATTCACCTTTTTATTTTCCACCGCATAGTAGCAAAGGAGAAAGAGAAGGTAATGTTCTGCACCTATCTATGTCATAAATAGCGTTAATTTTCCTTTACCCAAAAGAAAAAGAAGAATGTAGAGAAAAAGAAACTTTAGAAGTAGTCAATTAACTGTAAAATCACATTAAAAAAATGGAACATTTAGACATGCTTTTTAGATTGTATGTATTATTTAATAAGCTGGAAGGATTGAGGATATAATGCAAAGGAAATTGAAATTAAAATTTGTGAAAAAAAAATTACGTGGACATGTTAATTTCTCAAGTATAACCTAATATGAATATAATCGGAAATTGAAATTTGTGATGAAATATTGTAGGAATAGTTACCTAACAACTAAATTAGATGTTTAATGATGGGATGAAGGAACTACTAAGGAAAAAAAGCTCGAAATATCTTAGTTATTGGGAAGAAAAGCTACTAATATATCACAACATACGCATAATTGAAAACTGAAATTCAAGATGAAAAATTAAATTAAAATGGTTTTTCACCTTATTCTTATAGTGTTGATAAGTTGAAAAAATTGAGAGAATGTGCAAGGTATCCTAACTATTTGGAAGAAAAACTACCAAAAGCATGATTCCATGACCACAACTGAAAACTAAAATTTGAGATGAAAAACCACACAAATGGCATTTTAACCATAAAAATACAACAAAAACAGCGACAAAAACGATGTTGATTTCACCGTATCCTTATAGTATTAGAAAGTTCGAAAGGTTGAGGGAAAAAAAAGTAACGTATCCTAGCAATTATGCCAGATTCCGGCCAAATACCACTGCCTTCAAAACTCAGATTTGTTAATTATTTTTTTCATAAAAAATCTACTCACTTTCCAAACCTCTTAAATTTAAATTTAACTTTAATAACCATTTTCAAACAACTATTTAACATAAAAATCCACACATATTCCTATTTTAGTAATGAAATTATCTAATTCAGATATATAAATTAATTCCTTACGACAAGAATTTTCATTTATAGTATTGTTGACCTATGTTATGATTATTGACCTGTGTTATATGGTCAGATTTTGCCAGCTAACTCCTGCTCACATACGTTAGCTGAGTTCTCTCTCTCTGATTTTTTGTTGGTTTTTGTTTCTTCTTATTTTGGGAAACTTAGTTATTTTTTGGTTCATTAAAACGTCCGTGAATTTTGAACTATACAATTAAAAAATGTCTTCTCTCATTATATTATAATCAAATAAATTAAAATTACTAAGACTCAAACCTAATTAACCAAAGAAAGCTATCAAATAAACAACAGCTAAACTATACATGTATAGAAAAAATGATAGCAACGTTTTAGTTTGTATATGATAATAAGTTTTTTAAACCACAAAATGGTAGTCTGTTGATAAATAAACGTCAATATATAGGTAAAGTCCAAGGTTCAATTTGTGTAATCAGCATTCTTGAGAATTTATTTTCAAAATACCTAAAACATATACTAGAAACTAAGCATCTTAATAACATTTAGAGAAGAATTAATCTTGAAGTATGCAACAGTTGGCTCGGAGATATACACTTATTGTTGAACAAAAAAAAGAAAATATAATAAGATTTTTACATTTGTTTTTAACGGTTAAGATTCATCCAAAATTGATCTAAATGGTAATATTTAATTCTGTGCTTATATAAGCATACACAACCGTATTCAGTGGGGTTAAATAAAGCCTCCCACAACTGTGATTTGTTATCTTTGATTAAAAACCAGCCCGCATGCGGAACCCACGCATTTTTTTTTCCCTTTCCTTTTCTTTATTTTTTCTTTTCTTTTTTGACCATTAGTCTATGTTGTGAAAAATATTGTGGGACTAATAAATGTCTATGTTGTGAAAAATATTGTGGGACAAATAAATGTTTTCCTTCTTGACCTGGCACCACCAATTCGCCCACGCACAGGTTTCCATCTTCAACCACACAGCAAACAGGAACGTAAAGACAGTTCCGTAGTATCTTCTTTGTCAATACTGTTTGTTTGGACGACAAAAAAACATTAAAAAAGAAAAAAGTAGAGATAATAGTATTTTGATCAAAATAAAAATATGGACACATTGTCTGTGCAGGGCCAATGCCCTGATACTTCTTTCCTATAAATAGGGAATCATATAGAGAGGCAAAGACACAGACTCAGATCATTAAATCAACAAGCCACAGATTAAAGACAAGTCCCCGCATTTCAATTTCAAGCATGTCTCCCATTATGGTGCAAAAAGCTGAAGATCACGTTGCATTAGCTGCAGGGGCCAAAAATGTGCCATTCACCTACACCGATCCCCTTTCAGAAGTTCCAACACTTTCTGTTGTTGAGACATCAGCTGATGGCTCTACTCCTATCATTGACATGGAAGCCCTTCTCGGTCCTCAGCGCTCTGAGATCATCCAACAGATTGGCCTTGCATGCGAGAAGAATGGCTTTTTTGCGGTACAAAAATTATGTTGTTGCATACATTCTTCATAACATATTCGAAGTGATTCCTTCTTTTCCACTCCTCACAAATCACAATATATTCTTTACGCAGTTAGAATCTCCTTTTGTTATAATTTGATACTATTATAATCTAGTTGGTTCATGTGGTATATGTATGCTGGGAAAATTATAGTTCTAACAATAAATTCTAAACCATCAGGTGAAGAACCATGGAATTCCAGAAATGAAGATCAACAACATGCTAGACACGGCAAAACAGTTCTTCCACTTGCCGGTTGAAGAAAGGTTGAAATTTCGCTCAGCTGACCCTAACAGTGTCATCAGGCTGGTTACTGGTTTTGAAGATAAGACCAGGAATATCTTTGTTTCGAGGCAATCTTTGAAATTTCACTGTCATCCTGTCGAAGATTACCAGAACCACTGGCCCTCAAATCCTCCTTCTTTCAGGTAAACAATAAACTTTCACATCAATATAAATATTACCCTATCCTTTTCTTTATTTATTTTTGCTATGTTCAGTAACTGATAATCTAACTTTTGACAGGGAGAAAGTTGGTGAGTATTGTGCAAGTGTTCGAAAGGTGGAGGTAGCAATACTTGAGGCCATATCAGAGAGCTTAGGCCTGGAAAGAGATTACATAGACAAAACATTGAAAGGACATTATGTGTCCATCAATTACTATCCAGCTTGCCCGGAATCAGAACTAGATGCCACTTTTGGAGTCAGGACTCATACTGACCCAACTTTAATCACTATTCTGATGCAAGATGATGTCCCTGGGCTTCAGGTTATTAATGATGACAAGTGGATCGATGTTAATCCTATTCCAAATGCCGTCGTTGTCCACGTCGGAGATATGCTGCAGGTGATTAATTTACTCAACCGTTTAAATTTTTAGGTTGAAATACTTTTTAAACACGTAAATTTATTTACAATGACTAATTATTATTTTGTTTGTGTTGTATCAGGCACTTAGCAATTGTAGATATAAGAGTTTACTTCATCAAGCTATTGTGAATTGTGAGAAAGAGCGTGTATCCATTGCAAGTTATTGCTATCCATCAGATGATGCCATGATAGGACCCGCTAAGAAGTTGACAGACAATGATCATCCAGCAATCTATAAAGATTTCACATACAGAGAATTCCATGAATCCATGTGGCGAGTAAAATGTTCAACTGCTAAGCGCTTGGACCTGTTCAAGGTTGAAAGCGAATGATTAATCCCCATTTTCTGCACTGGTCCTGCAGTTGGGAAGCTCAAGATATGTAGAAGTTTTACTAAATCTAAATAAGAGTTTCCAATTGTTTTTGGCTTACGACATTCAATAAATTTTACACAGCAAATTAGATTACTTTTCTTTTTTTCTTTTCTGTAACTTGATAGTGCTTTATTATTATTATTATTATTGTATATCTTTTATACTTATATATAAAGTAGATCGAGATTAATTATTTATTTAGCCTATTCCAAATCATAGAATTAAATCAAGATTATTCATTTTCCTACACAATATTAATAAGGGATTAGAATTTTATCAAACTATTAGGTTGGTTTATTTGTTGTTCAACGAGGAGGATAAACTACTCAATATGATTGGCTTGAGTGAAAAGAGCTCTAGTCACTTAAGCAAATAGTCTTGAGTTCAAATTTTTATATATACAAAAAATTCTTTGGATATTTATCTTCGTCTTGTATTTATCTTCATCTTGTACTTGTCTCCGTCTTGTATACTCGACAAAACAATAAGAGATTAGTCTGATTTTTTAAGCCTAAGATACCTTTCAAGATAAAAAAAACAAAAGGGATAAACTTACAAACATTCTATATTATCAAGGGTGATTTTATCAAACTTAAGGGGATGGTGCTCGAGTCATCATCTTTTGAGGGCAAAACTAAAAAAGATCACATGCTCAAGATAAAGCAAAAGCTTGTGAATGAATGGTTAACTTTCGGTGAGGGCAGAGCTGAAAAAGGCCATGCTAGCCATGAGTGCTCTCTTTTAAAAGCAAGTATACATGAAAATAATCGTTTTTTTCGTTTTTTGGGAAAGGATAAATATGCCCCCCAAGACTTTTATTCGAATCAGGATTGAGTAGCTCAACAAACTATTTTCTCAATTCAGTTTCCATGGAATGAGATGTTGCCCAATCTACAACCCCATAAATAATTAGATTTGTTGTCCCAAATTAATTTCGAATTTAGGTAATGGGTAGCTACCAATTTGATGAGAGACGCTACCCCATGTCCCCATCCCTTCTCGTTGAATTTATGCCTCCATCAATGCTTACTTTATCCTATTGTCCATCCCAACAGCCTACATTGATTACATCTATCACTGTCGTGTTTCTAGCTTGCTTCCTGATTGTTAGGAGAATTATTTTTTATATGGTTATATTTTCATTTGAAAGAATTACTTGTATAGTCTCTCTCTTTTAACTAAAATGTTAACTACAAGAGTTCATGGTCTATGCTTCTCGCCCGAAAGATACTTATTTACCTTTCTCTGTTAGATGATCTAATTTAAGACTTGCAGGCCTGAATTAAATTTTGAGGATAACAGCTAATATAATAGCAATCAATCAAGACTTTGGGAAAAAGTTGAATTTCAATAAAAAATAAATAAATAAAGACAGATTTGGAGATGAAGTTAACCCTCACACCCACAAAATAAATAAATAAAAGTAATGGTAGGCTTGTTCAATGAACATGTCGCAATCTATCAAGTTTGAGAAGAAATTATTGTAAATTATTTTATCCTTTTTAGGCTTGTTTTATGTAAGCCAAAGGTTTGAGTTGGTTGCTTTCTTTGCTTCTTCTGGTCACCTGCCATTTGCTGTGTTTTATAATGCTTTTTTATATGTGTCAGCTAATCTTTCTTTCTTTATTTTTCAAATCTAATCTCCTTGTTTGAAGGGAAAAAATAGAGCACCTTAATTTATTTATTTTTATTTCCATTTGACTGTTCCATGATGCGTAAAGCAGACTCTCAGCTCTCTGTTGCTAGCCCTGCAATTAAAGATAAACATCCGATTTTTCAGTTTGATTTTATATTATTTTGATTTAGTTTTTTATTAATTAAACCTATAAAAAAACCTAACTCAAATCGAATTACTATTTTTTTTTATTTGGTTCGATTTTTTAAAAAATTTGAGTTAAAACTGAAAAAAAAAATCAATTTGGCTTTTTTTTTTTTTTTAATTTTTAAGCTAAAAACCAAACAGCAATTGATAATATATAAATTGAGTAGCGCACCCATCTACCTACCGTAGAGATGCAACAGAAGCCCAGCAGTTATAGTGACATCCAATTTTATAAATTATTATTACTATTATTTTACAAAAATGAAAAAGCCCACTAGGTTATCTGAACTCATGTTTTATTTAATATTTTATGAATATAGACGTCATTCAAATAGAACGGAAACGATTTAAATTAAGCTAAAATGACGGTGTTGTTGAACTTTCTTTATAATACTCAGTACTTTAAAGCCCACGCCCACCATTCGAGAACTATTTTGACTATATTGGAGGTCTTGACATGTGCAAACTGACACTTGGACCGTAACTATTTCTATATATGGCATTTGATTCTGGACTTAGAATTTTCTTGTGAAGGTATTGATTAATCTTGACTTCAATTCTAATTAGTCAACTTTCTCTGAATTTAATATAATTTTTTCAACTATAAACTTTATTGGGCGTTAACCTTTTCTAGAATGCGGAACACAGTTTTTCTATATGTTTTGTTATAAAAATGTGATACGTCCTACAAATAATTACTAGAAAAACTTTTTAAAAAATATTTTATATAAAAATTTTATCAATTTATTTTTAAAATTTTCGTATCCAAAACAATATTTTTCTTATCAAACTCTAGTTGATTATTGGTTGTTATTTGTTCCAGTAGGTAGAGTCTTTGGTTTGATAAATGAAAAATTGTTTTGGTGTTTAGCAAGAAAATATTGTTTTGGATTTAAAAATCTTAAAAATAAATCAATGAGATTTTTAGATTGAAGATTTTTTTAAAGGATTTTTTATAATTAATTTTAACTTAAATGAAATCTTTATTTTTTAATAGATATTGGATGCACATGTTCTATTTAATTAATGAATCAAGATATATTATATATTTATTGTATAATTTAAGTTAATTACTTCATAAAAATTGATATATAAGTTTCGATTAATTAAAAATTAGTACTATTGATGGTGTTTTTTTTTCTATCAGTATATATATTTGAATTTAGGAGATTATTAATGTTCATAATCATACAAATTTTTATCTTTTTATTATTATTATTTGTTGGATATCCATTGAATTAAATTATAAGAAAATAAAAAAAATCGCATTTCGTCAATATTAATTAGTTGAATTGTATCAGTTGTTATAGTAAAACTAATTCATTAATTGATAAAAACAAAGGGTTGATAGAAAACAAAAAACAAAAACTTTTATCGAAATATTTTTTTTTTTTTTTGTATAAGAAAAAAATAATAGCCGAAGGTCAATGTTCCAGTAGTTAAAGAACATGACGAATCTTTTTGTTTTTCTATTGCAATTAAAAAGAACCTGGACATGACCACACACACACACTCATCAAAACTATGAAATGAGATTATTATTATATAATTACTAGAAAATACTCTAAAAAAATCTTTTATCTAAAAACTATCCATTTATTTTTAAAATTTTTAATCTTAAAATAATATTTTTTTATCAAAATACCTAATAGTTAACCGGTGTTAAGTTAAGGTTTAACTATTGTGTGTTTTAATAAGAAATATATTATTTTGGGTTTAGAAGATTTAAAAATAAATTGATGACTTTGTTAGATAAAAGACCTTTCAGAATAATTTTTCTAATAATTATTCCAAAAAGTATTTTTTTCATAAAAATAATTATTTGGTATTGGCACATTATTAAATGATTTTTGTGTTTGAAATTTTCATATTGTGTGATCAAGAAATTTATATATAAAAAAATTTTGTTGTCAAATACGCTTATATATAATCAAACGTTACACTTCATATAATAATTTTTCACTCATTATTTCTTCCAACATCCTGTTTATCCGTAGGGTTGCAGTACCGATCACAAACAAATAATTTGTCTATAGCGTGTTTATCTATTCCCTTCTGTCAAGTAAAAGAACTAAAGTGTTTGACATATTTTTATCATTTTTCTTTTTTAGCTAAACTAAAGTTACATTAGAAGCACCAGGCTAATATATTACATTTTTAAAATGGAAACAATTTAGTTTTAGTTGATTTAGTTTTGTAAATACGTAAACAGATCCGAAAATACTCTTAAGGTTTTACAGTTGAAAGAAAAGAAAAAAAATTTGTTCGTTCGTTCGTTTTCATAATTCAACCCAAGAGAGCATTAATTATTTTATCCTCGTCTTTCAAATTTTCTAGTCGATGCAATGGTTTCTCAGTTGATTATGATGTCCATTTATTCATCCTAGTCCGTACGGCACCATCATAGTTGACATCTTTACTTGACGAAGGGGTGTTTAATAATCTAATTAAATAGCTTAAAAAATTAAGTTGTACTACTTAATATAAAAATCTTGTTTGATAACTTAAATGATCTCATATTAAAACTTTAAATTCAGTTAAAATTTATTTAATCGGATAAGTTAAAATTTTCAACTTATCCGATTAAGTCAAATTATTTAAAACATACTCTCTCTCTCTCTCTCTCTCTCTCTCTATATATATATATATATATATATATATATATATATATATATATATCAGAATTTATAAATTACAATAAAATATTTTGAAAAATAAAATACTCATTTGAAAGGCATAAAAATAATTCATTATATAAATTATAATAAGATATTTTTAAAAAATAAAACATTCATGTTATAAAATTTTATTTCAAAATTCATATATTAAAAAATCAAATTTATTAAAAAATAAAATGATATCAAAAATTAATTTGATGAAAATTTTAGTAAAAAAAAATAATTGAAAAAAATAAATTTTAAACAATAAGAGTAATATAATCGGATACATATGTTCAAACTAAAATCTTAAAAAATATCATATATATTCTATCATCTTCAAACATGCTTATTATATTCAGTATTTAATTTTCGGTAAATACCAAACGAGTTTGTCGAAACATATTCGATACTTAATGATTCATCACTTAAAATTCAATACTTAACAGATCCATCACTTAATTTTCAGTTTTATCAAA